AAAGAAGAGTGACTTTTCTTTTGGCAAATGGTGACGGTAGAGGCCAATCACTTTGCTCCAATATGAGATCAAGATGACACACACCAAGATCTGTTTGTTCACCTTTAATCCAAGGAGATGACCCCGGGGGTCTCGGTTGAAAGCTGGAGGTCTTGCCTAAGCCTCCTCATCCTGGGGGCCATGCACTCCGGTTTGGTCCCCTGGTCTTGGGGACTTGCCAGAAGCTCTGCTGGTCCTGGCTGAGCCCCCCCTTTCTGCCTGGCTCCTCTGCCTCCCCCCCCCAGCTTAGACCCAGCCTCTGCCGCGGTGGCACCAGCTGGAAGCAAGGTGGTCCCCACCTCTGTGGTCCTCATACCCCGGGATTCCCCTCCTGGTGACGGAGTTGCCTTGTCCTGAGGCCAGGGGAAAGCCAGGCTGTCACTCTTTGCTTAGGCGATGGCCACTGTCTGGAGGGAAGGGGTGGGGAYCGACTGCACTCAACCCACTTCCCCCTCTGGGATCCGGGCCTCCAGGTCCTGGTCTGTCATCTTCCAGGGCTTAAAACTGTCCTCAGGGCTTTAGTTTCTGATCATGATCGTGCAGTTGACTAGAAATCCAAGGTGTCCTGTCAGCCGGGAGGTGAGTCAGGAAAGAGGCTTATCTGAATTTTCCCAGATATTAGAGAAAAATTCTACTTTAAACCACATAAAAGGCAAAACTTCAGATGAATCAAGATTTATATAGGAAGGGTGAAATTCCAAGGGAATAGCTTAACGTGGACCAATTTTTAAATCTCAGGAATAAAGAAAGATTTTTTTATATACCTAGAAAGAAAGAAAGAAAGGAAAAAAATAAATTAAGTAATTATTGGGAAAACAGTTAATGATTTTTTTGGTTTTGTATCATGAAAGACGTCAGAATCAGAAGAAAACAGTCAGATGAAGACTAAGAAAAGAAATCCATGACACCTGAAGCCAACAATGAGGGAATACGAGGCGCCCCCACAAATGAAKGAGAAAACCAGACCAGGGTGAATGATATGGGCAGCAGCACCCCAAACTTGTCATGCAGATAAACGAGGATATTCATTGCATTATTTAGGGTGCTGGGGGAGGCAGGCCACCTGCTCCCCACKCGGGCAATGCGTCAGTTTAATGGAGCAGGTAGTTGGTACAGAACCGTAGCTAGAAGCCAGCTCTCCGTCCGGCAGGTATCCACGCACACGCTTAAACACATAGACGTACACACGCGTTCAATACATGCACACGTCACAGACACACGTTTTAAACTGACGGTGCACACCGAAAATAAAAAACCTGATGAACATGTAAATTAAAACCCAGGCCACACCTAAGGCACACATTTACATATTTAACCCATTRGAGCCGCTGCCGAGGGGGGGTGAGAATGAAGATCAGCAGGAATTTCTAACAATCCTGTTGGACATAAGGACTTCCTGCCGTCTGTCCCTCTGTCCCTCTGTCCCTTTCTTCCTCCACCCTCCGGCACAAGCTGCAGATGACGGGATGAGGGATGAGCGAGCTTGTGCGCCCGCTGCYGTGGGGGATGGAGATGCTTCCCCCTGGCTTGGCCTCGGGATCCTGGGCGAGGGACTAGGGTGTGCACACCCGGCTTGTCAGCGGTCACTCCCTCCCAGAGCTGACCTCCCACACCTTCCCGCCCTGCTGCAGAACCAACAGAGGCCGGCTGGGCCCAGGGCTCCCGGGGTGACAGGAGCACTCAGTAAAGAAGCCGGTGACAGAGGCTGGGAGTGTCCCGCTGCAGGGGTCTCGATCACAGATGGGACAAGGAGGAAATCGTGCCACTGGAAGAAGAGGTCCGGGTGTCAGCCAGTGGGGAGCCGTGGGGCCTGGGGCAAACTGAATCCTGTGCTTCCCCTAGGCTGGGCCACGGCTGGTCACCTCCGGCCCACGGCTGCCAGGCTGGATTCTGGCGATAGTCTTCCATTTTCAAGTTTAAAATACAGATTTTTATGTGAAACTGCCTTATTTTTTAAAATATTGGCAACTACTTGAAATATTTTTTTTAACCTCAGGGGGTAGAAACAATTCATTTGGGGTTTTTTTGATTTTTGTTTTTAGTTTTTTGTTTTAGATGATGATGGACCTTTGTTTTATTCATTTATTTTCGTGTGGTGCCAAGGATCAAACCCAGCGCCTCACACGTGGTGGGCAAGAGTCTGCCACTGAGCCCAGCCCAGCCTCTCTATTTGTTGTTAACTGGATTTGGACTTTGACTGACAGTCCACTGCCTTTGCTGCCCAGAGCCATCGCGTCCAGCTGTCTGGAGACCAATGCTGAATTGTGCATTGATTCTTTTTTTTTTTTTTTTAAGAGAGAGAGGAGGGAGGGAGAGAGAGAGAGAGAGAGAGAGAGAGAGAGAGAATTTTTATTATTTATTTTTTAGTTCTCGGCGGACACAACATCTTTGTTGGTATGTGGTGCTGAGGATCGAACCCGGGCCGCACGCATGCCAGGCGAGCGCGCTACCGCTGAGCCACATCCCCAGCCCTCGATTCTTTTTTTAACTTTAAAGTATTGGCACACACTCAAAAGAAGGAAGGGAGTGGGTTTGGATAAAACACAAAATCTGGCCCCTACGATCCGGCAGCAGATTCCCTGTCTGCCCTTTGCCCGGCAGAAGACCACATGCTTTGGGTCTAAAAGAAACAGGACACCGGCCCCATCCCGCCCTGCCCTGTGGCATGGGGGAAATGGTACCCAGCCTGCCCGCGTACCTGGGATCGCTAGGAGCCACCATTTCTTAGCTCATGTAAAGTCACGAGCACTAGAAGCTGATCCGCTTGGAACTCCCGAACTGGACTAACGTGTGCGTGTTTCCTGGGATATCCTGGGATAAGGGTTGCCTTAAAAAAAAAAAAGAGAAGCTGCTTCCTTCGGGGCCGGGCTGTGTCTTCCTGGTAGAGAACTTGCCTGGCATGCATGCGCCCTGGGTTCCATCTCCAGTGTCATAMCAGTAACAGTAGTAATTAATAACGGTAGGTAGTGAGGTATCGCAGGCCTGCAGGATCACAGTAAGCCGGGCCGTAGGTTCTACCCAGAGCCCGATGATACGCGGAACCAGGACGTGGCACGTCTTTCTTGCCAGATAGAAAATGTCTTCGGCCTTGTGAGGCCGGTATGGGTCTGTCAAAACGACTGAGCCCAGGAGCTGCGGCGACGTGAAGGTACAGACAAGACGCAAGCCCAGGAGGAGGGTGTGTTCGGATCAGGCTTCACCCACAGACGCTGAAATGTGAATCTTACCACATCTTCACGCGGCACGAAATGGGATCCTTCTTTTGATTTTTTTTCAACCATTAAAAAACGTGAAAGTCACACTTAGCTCATGGGTGTGCATGTGCTGGACTGGGCCCATGGCCCCCAGTTCACGGCAACCCCAGAACTCACGCTGCATGAACTCGGGGGGAGCCCCAGGGCACCACTTCCCAAATCGCCTCCCCCAGACCTTCTCCTGAAACTGGTGTCCTCCGCCCGCTCCTGCATCACTTAGCCCTTCCTCGTGTGCAGCCGCTTCCTCAGTGACACAGAATGTGGGTTTGTGGCTTTGGCCTCTGTGGAAACAGGATCCCACCCAGTGCCCTTCTGCCCCTGCTGGGCTCTGGCTTCCGTTGGCAGGCCTGCATCTGGCATCTGTGAAGAGCTGGGTCAGTCCTTTTCTCTGCTGCATTGTATTCCACTCTGTGRTCACTCTGCCTGTCCATCCCAGCTTGTTCCTGTGGCAGTGGATGGCATCCAGGTGGTGCCTTTGGGTCCTCTCTTCACAGCCTTCATCTCTTATTCTTAATCTCTTAATCTTGACCTTGTCAGGAAGCTACTTCGATCATTTTCCAGATGAGAAAACTCGGGCTTTAGACTGTTCTGGTAACTTGCTCACGATATCAAAACGCTCCAAATCCATGGCCYCTTTATGACGAAACCTGAGTCTAGAACCATGGGCCATTGATCGGCTYGTGGCTCGCGCATGTTGTGCTGTGTTAATGCAGGGGTGACGGGTGGCGCCCAGGGTGACCTTGAGCTAATGCGGTGCTCCCAGCAAGCCGCGCCCTCTCTGAAGGCTGCTTGACTGAGCTTTAACCATCGTCAGGTGTGGCTGAGCCCTTGAGTGTGATGTTGGTGCATTCACTAGAAACTCCACTTCCCCACCCAACGGGGGCAGGAGTGTGGGAAAGTCTCTGTGGACACAGACAGGTGCAGGGGTCGGAGACATTTCAGCAAAAAGGGAGAAAATCCATCAGGTACCCTGGCCCACACCTGTAATCCCAGCAGCTAGGGAGGCTGAGGAGGAGGACTGCAAGGTCAAGGCCAGACTCAGCACTGAGCAGGGCCCTCAGCAACTCAGCGMGACCCTGTCTCTAAATAAAATATAGAAAGGGCCGGGGGTGCGGCTCAGTGGCTAAGCACCCTGGGTTCAATCCCTGGTACCAAAAAGAGAGAGGCCCAAGGTGACTTGTCCCTGTGGCCTGCCTCATCCTCCAACCTGAGCAGCTCAGGGATCAGTGAGCTCTGGCCTGGGAGGGCCACGCGGCTGGGCTGTGGCACTAGAGGCCCCGCCTCCGCCTCTCTGCACCTGTGCGAATGACACCCGTCCTAGCCACCTGGCGTCCAAGCCCACCCGAGCCTCTGGCCTCCGGGAGTCCAAACCCCAGCGCCCCCTCCGCCTGCCCCAGGAAGCCCCAGAGTTCGCTGCCCTCCATCCCGATGACACGGCCGGCCCGCAGGAGAGTCCTGGATGTCATTTTTCTAATGGGAAAGCCCAGCAGGAGGGAGGGGACGTTCTAATCAGGCGGGTGAGCTCTCCTGGGGACCAGGTACCTCATTTCAATTCCTCGTTTCCCTTGGATGAAAAGTTCGGTGCATTTTTATAACGTGGGGTTCCTRAGAAGGCTGGGGGGGCGTTCATCGGCCTTGATATTCATGCTCTCTGCCAGTGAGCATGCACGATTAATGAATAAATCACRTCCCCTTTGTCCCCCGCAGGTACAAGGAAATGCTAGAACTAGTGATCCCACCCAGCCTCACTGTCAGCAGCCACCGCCAGCAACTCCTGAGCCTCAGCCGCGTCGGCAACGCCCTGGGGGCCCTGAGTGACGGAGAAGGTAGGCCTCTCGCGACAGGTGGTGGGCTCCCTGCTGGAGAGGGACCACCGGCACGTCCCGAGCCACCGTCCCTAGGGCCCGTCCCCAGCTGTCATTTACATGGTGTCCCCAGATCAATACTCTGGCACACGTCACTGCCACTGTGTGCCATCCTTCGAGGGACAGGTGTGCACGCTCGTGCCCGAGCCTCTCTCTGTGTCTTGGTCCTGGGGTTCGMGGCACGCCCCAGACCAGAGCTGGCTTCGGGGCTGTTCCAGGCCCAGCCCTGGGCGTGGCCCTCGGGCCGTGGCTCTGAGTGTGTCCTCCGTGTCCTCTGCCGTCTCCGGGTCCCGGCCTGCGCTCTGTTCACAGGGTTTGACATAGGACAAGGGCTCGTGGGCCGTCTGCTTTCAGGTGGGGTTGGAGTCAAGGAAGCAGAGGAGAGATGAAGCTCTCTGAAAACTTACTGGCAGATGAGGCAGCGAGGCGAGTTTTCAGGAGAACAATGGCAGCGATTGTTGGCTCTGCTGGGCTCTGTGCCTTCCTGGTGGAGCTCGGGTTAGCAGAAGGCACTAAGCTAACAAGTCCAAGTGCTGGGCTTAACCCTTTATTGGGCAGCTCTGGGATTTGCTGCTGGTATTCTGAGACCCCCGGCTCTTTCTTTTCATGTGTTTGATGACAGTTCATGGGCACAAATGGGTCTAGTGGAGTATGAGGTCACAAGGAATTTGCTTCTAAGCAAAAAGGCTTCCGTGAGTGATCGTTGCTGTCACCGGGACGTGGCATTCCCCTTTGCATACAGGTTATGAAGCCGGGACAACCTTCCTGGAAGTCCCCCAAGAGGGTTTGGGCTCTGAGGCCAGACSTGGGTGGTGGAGGACACACCCTCTTCTCCTGGGGCTTCGGAGCGTGTAAACGGCTGGTCTCTTGGAGAGCTGGAGAGGAATGACCCAGCCCTGTTCAGAGGCGGTGTCCTTGTCCTCCTGAGTGGAGACACAAGTCAACKTAGGGCACGTGGGACACTGTCCTCTGTCCTTAGCCTCTGGGGACCGGAAAGGCCCTGGGCTGCCGGGGGAGGGGCTCTGACTCCCAGCCCTGCGGTCCCCGGCCCAGCAATCTCAGGCAACGGGGGCCCATCTGGACCTCGATTCTCACTGTCCCCTGGGACATGACGACCACCCACTTGCAGCCTGAGTGCCAAGCGCCTGCCCTCCTGGGGGACAGGTGAGCGCTGGAGCCCGCTCAGTGTCTCCTCTGAATGAAGCAACCCCTGTGATCAGTCTGTGTCCTGGGTGAGTGGGCACAGGACTGCCCCATCTGTTCAAGAGGACAGTCATCCCCCGACCTCAAAGGTGACCTGAGTTGAAAGACGGAGAAGAGGACAGAAGAGGATGGAAGTCCTTCCCCTTGTCTGCCCGCCTCCCCTCCCCCCCCTCCCCTCCCCCCCTCGCCGGCCCCTCTTTCCCTGGTGTAAGTGGAAGGCGTGGTCTGCCTCGGGGCCTCTGCTCCTGCTGTCCCCCGCCTGGAGGCCTTTCTTCCCCTTTTTTTTTCTTTTAGGGTGAATCAGTCTCCAGGCCCCGGGTGGTATATGCACAGTCCTTGAGAAAGTGGCCCAGGGTCCTTCCACACCAGGCCATCCGGTCTTCTCCCCCCGGAATGGCCAGTCCCCTCGTCCTGGGGCTTTGCGGGGGAAGGCGGTTTGCTACGCGGTCACCTTCGTCCGCGGGCCCTTCCTGAGGCCGTTGGATCTCCAGGTGCCCGCGGGCTGCAGAGGTCACAGGTTGCYGGGTTGTCCTCCGGCCTGTGTCTCCCTCATTCAAAGGGACACYGCCCCCTTTGTTTCTTCAGCTGCACAGGACTGCCCTGCCCCGGTCACTCAGCTGTCCCCCGCAGTGACCACCAGGTTCTTTCCGTGACTTCTGATCGCGTGGCCTTCTGACCGGGTGCTGTTTCTCCAGAGGAGATCTGGGGTCACCCTGCAGCACCGTGGGGTCCCCTCTCCTCCTGCCCACTGTAACTCCGGGGCCTCCACAGGGAGCTCCTGGTCCTCACTGTCCTCCTTCACCCCATCCCTCCCGGCGTGGGCTTCACCAGGTGGACGGGCTGCTCTGCTCAAAGCACTGGACCAGGGGAGAACCAGGCCACCCCTGACTGCTTTCAGGGACTTGCTCCCTAGGACGGTCACTCTGCTCCTGGTCGTGCCCTTTGCATCTCCCTATGGTCACTGCACATAACCTGAGTCTGGAGTCACCCAAGCCACGTGTGCCTCCCGGCCATCGCTCGCTCACTGTGGGAACCCGGGCAACTCCCTGCCCTTCTCTGAACCTCAGTCTCCTCTTCTGGATAATGAATTCAGAAGGTAGTTCCTAAATGTCTGTGTGGGCCAGGCCCTGGGGTGGTGGCTGGGAAGAGGAACACAGAGCTGAGTTCTGGTCCCAGGGCAAGTACTGAATCTTGAAGCAAATAAGGAAGGTCAAATAAGGAAGGTCAAATAAGGAAGGTCAAATAAGGAAGGTCGGGGGGGTTTCTTTGAAGAAGTGAAGCAGGACACGGCAGGGCGTGACCCAGGCTAGAAAGGACTTCAGGACAGTACCTGGCAAAGGCCGCGCAGGTGCTCGACGCTGGGGGACTCTAGAGAATGCTGCGTCTGCCCCTCGGGAGTGCACTGGGGTACCCTGCGGAACTGGGGGTTCGGACCCAGCCTGAGACTCCCAGGTGATCCCCACGGTGTGGGTCCATCAGCCCAGAACAGCAAGGCCCCAACTCGGTGGCCCCCCAACTCTGTGCGTCACAAAAGCCCCTGGTCCTCCCCAGACTCTGACTGCCAAGATCTGGGCGGTCCCCGAACGCGCCCTGCCATCAGGTCCCAGGTGACCGTGCGGCTGGCCAGGGATCCCACTTTGAGAACCGGTTTCCAGTAGTGCTTCTCAAACTTGGCTGCGTCCTGGAGCCACCTGGGCAGTGTCTGTCTTTCTGTGTTTAATGCTCTCTCCTGGATCCCAGCCCCCGGTCTGATTGGTCAGGGTGGACTTCCGGCCAAGTCAGCTGGGCACCCGGGCTGAGAGTCCTTGACCTGGGCACCGGTCCTCCCGACGCAGACGACATTCCCGTCCTGCACGGGGATTTCCGTTCCTCTTCCCGTCCAGCTAGGACTTAGTGCCCAGGTCGCGGTAGAGCCGAGATGGCAAACTGAGGGTGGATGGGTGGGCGGACGCGGGCACAGATGGGTGGACGGGGAGGTTATGACAGACAGTTCCGGTTCCTGTTGGCTGTGAGCCCTGGTGGAGTTCTAAGGTCCCCTGCCTGCTCACGTCTGCAGGGACAGATGACGAGACCTTCCTGGCGGGTGGTTACGGGAGAAAGCAGCTAATCCGCCTGGAGCAGGCGCCCGGCTTCAGGAGCCACCTGGGGACAGGCCTGTCAGTCATCGCTGTTGAGGGGAAAATCGGACTGAATTGTCCCTCTCTGGAAGGGGGCGGGCAGAGAGGCTAAGAGCCGCTGCTGAATGGAAGGAATTTCCTCTTTCAAAAGATGCCCTAATCTCATTAAGTGTTTCAGGGCAGGTGGGACCCGTGCTCCCAGCTTCCCGCCCCACCCTCCCTGGGCCTCCCCCTCCCTGGGCCTCCCCCTCCAGGGCCTCCCCCTCCAGGGCCTCCCCCTCCAGGGCCTCCCCCTCCCTGGGCCAGCCCAGGCCCCATGTTCAGCTTCAGTCCGGCTGGCTCCAGCCTGAGGCTGGTGGAGCTCGGTGCCTCTTGTCCCCCAGTCCAGCCGCCCAGGGCTCTGTCCGGGTCCTGCCTGGAGAGCGCTGGACCCCGCCCGCCCCTCTCTGGGCCTCCGCAGTGCTCCCAGGCTGGCCTGGCAGGGCCTCACTCCAGGGCCACTCGGGGAGCTGGGCTGGAGCCCTGAGGACCGCAGACCCCGCRGCTGAGGGCGGGCGCTGCCCTCTGGGAGTCCCCCAGCCCCTCCTCCTCACACGGTCACCCCAGACTCCAGGATTGGGACGTCCCAACTGCCCACTTATGAATCAGTCTCCAGCAGCCCCTAGAAAGAAGGTCACTTCAAGGGCATGACTTCGGTCACTTCCTGGTGCCCGCTGCCCGCCTGAAGAGGAGCTGGAGAGTTGAGGAAAGAGCCTCTCTCAGTGGGTCCCCTAAACCGTCACACGGGGAGATGCCACCTCATCCCTCTGTCCTCAGCACCACAAGGGACAAAGGGTGACTTCAGGCGCACAAGAGGAAGAGGCGGAATTGGGGCACGTGCTGCTGGACCTGGTCCCCTGCTCTTCAAATGCGCGTCCCTGGTATGGGAGTGACTTGACCACGCTCAGGGACGCGAGATGACTCCCTTGGGAGATGTCACCTTGCTGGCGGGATCTGCCTCCGGGCTGCACTGCCCGGAGGCCCCTCCGCTCTCTGGGGAGGGGTCAGGCATTGGCCCTGGGGCCCAGTGGGACAGGGTGACAGGGCGGCTGCTCAGAACCTTTAGCTTCTCCATGGCCCAGTGAGCGGGGAAAGGCTGCGCAGTGCAGGGCAGGTGCACAGATGGCCGAGGCTTCAGCAGGCCCCCAGAGCGGGAGGCCAGTGTGGCTCCTCACCTGTGAAGCAGTTGCCACTCGACAGGTGCCTGCCTCCTCCGCAGGTGTGAGCCGTTGCCCCGTGTTTCAGATGAGGAAACTGAGGCCCAGAGAGGGGAAGAGACGGGCCCAGGGCCACACAGCCCCAGTGCCGCAGAGCCAGGTCTGCAGTTGAACTTGAAGCTGACCGCTGAGGCCTGCTGCTTTCTCTGGACAGAGGTTAAGTTAGCAGGTCATGAGCCTGGATCACGGCTTTGGCCCACAGTAGGTGCACAGTGAACGCTTGCCGAACACGTGAACGGACGCATGGACCGTGTGTGTGTGTCCTCGGCAAGTGACACCTGAGTGTGTGCCGCACAGAATCCAGCCATAGTGTCTTGTAGGAACTGGATCTTGTGTTTCGCACCCTGGTCCGAAAAGCTCCCAAAACTGAAGCTTTCTGAGGGCAGACGAGGACCCGTCCAAGTGAGAGACTCTCCACTATGAAACTGCTTCGTGCGTGAAACATTAAATACGTTACATAGAGTTATTTTCAGGGTGTGTATAAGGTGTCCATGAAACCGAAATGTCTTGGGCCCCCTCCTGCTACATTCGGATCTTGAATGTCCCCCAGAGGTACACGTGGGAAAGGCTTGGTCCTCAGACTGCTCTGTGGGGAAGCACTGGGGGTCTCAGGAGGTGGGGCCCAGCAGGGGGTCCTTAGGTCAGCATGTCCTCCAGGGTCTCCTCCTCCTCCTCCTCTCCACATGCTGGCTCCTGAGGCGAGCACTCCCATCATGGTGTGGCTCCCTTGCCAGAGGCCCAAAGCCATAAGGTTCAGTTCAGTCTTGAACCTCCAGAACCCTGAGCCAAAATAAACCTTTTCTCTTTATACATGAACAGCCTCAGGCATTTGGTTACAGGATGGAAAACTGACTAAGGCATCTCCCGGTGTCTCATTATAGTATACATATGCAAATATTCTGAGATCTGGAAAAATCCAGAATACTTCTGGTTCCAAGCAGTTCAGACAAGGGACACTTAAACTGTGTTCCCTTCTTCACTCCAACATACTTTAGAGTTTGTGGTTTCTGGGTGAAGATTTATTCCTAGGAACCCAGAATTGTGATGCTTCTTAGTGACCTCAGTGACGTGCAGTCCTGGGTCAGCCTAGGGTGCTGGCCTGCAGCACCAGCCCTGTGACCTCCAGGACCACAGCCTGCATCTTGGCTGGTCCCAGGAGGCCCTGGGCACGTGGAGGGGCCACAGCCTCCGCTGTCTTCCTCTCACCTCGTGGTAACTGGAATCAGGTCTCATTCGTAGACAGGAGCCTCCACAGGGCAGGAGCCTGCTGCCTCCCRGGACTGCAGCCCACGCCAGCACAGGTGGGCGACAGGTGAATGGATGCGCTTGTCCCGGAGGTTCTGGCCGCCTGCTTAGCGGACCCTCCTCCCCTGCCCCAGGAAGCTGTGAGGGAAGCGGAAGTCAGGGAGGGGGCTCTGCCCCTCCCCGTCTGAGAGCTCGCTGTCCCCGCGACAGGAAGGGGAAGCTTGGAGTGGACAGATTGGGCCAGGTTGGGGTCGGGTCACCAGGGCTGCACTCTGAGTCGTCATGGATGACGCCCTGTTGACCTCCCTGTTGCAGTGAGTCCACCGTGGCCCGTCCAGGGGCACCAACACAGCTGGCCTCCGCCTGCCCGGCCCCAGAGCGGTGCTGCTCCCACTGAGCCTGGTGTCTCTGCTGGGGAAGGCGCTTAGACAGCTGTGGGGACCCTCAGGGGAGTCCACACCCCAGCCAGAGGGAGAGAGGGCCCTTGCAGACAGCCTCTGCCCTCCAGCTCCCCTGTCCCCTAGGYGTCCTGGGATGGAGAGGCTCAACAGGTCACCGTAGAGGACACGGGGAGTCTTCTTTAAGCACTGGCGCAGTCTGCAGAAGGAAAGCCCTGCGCTCACCAGGGCCAGTTTCTCCCTTGCTGGGGGGAAGGGGAGCGGTGGCAGGTGCAGAGGGGCGGAGGGAGGGGGCGGAGGGAGGCTGGGGGGGCGTGGTTCAGAGCAGCGGGGACAGGTCCCCTGGAGAGAGCAAGCTCGCCTCGCCTCCGTTCCTGAAGCCAAGTTCGCCTGCGCCCACAGGAATGCCGCCGCCACAGATTTGGATTTTTGTGGATAGTTACATGTTTATTAAAGAAAACATTCAAGATGTTTAATTCAGTCATTTATTCATCACTAAACACACCGAGTCAGGAGCTTCCACCTGGAATGAGACGTTGGTCCCTTGGTCCTGGGGACCAGAAGGAAGGGGCATGTGGGGGCCCTGCCTGGGGCGCTGGCCGAAGGGAGGGAGCGCTGGCTGGGTGCCAGGGCTCCTTGGCACTGGGCACGCCCTTGCCTGCTCGCCGTGTGCACTGTGACCTGTGATAAACACGTCTTGACGCCCTCGTTCCACACACTCACCTCTGTTGGAAGACGGTCCGGTTCTCTCTGGGCCGAGCTGCTGACTGTAGTGGACTAAACCAGACCTGTCCCTTTACCCTCCAGCCCTTCTCTCTAGAGGGACCTAAGGAGCCCCCTGGCCCAGCGCTTAGGGGCCCAACAGCACTTGACTCAGCTGGACCGGGTGGTGACAGGCATGGACTCCCCCCCACCCGTGGCCCTTCACCTCTGAAGCCCCAGCTTCTSGGTGCAGAGGGGACATGGACACTGCCTCCCTGTCACCCTGCTGTGAGGACTAAGTGGGTCAGGCGCCTACACCGCTGACCCAGGCCGGCTCCTAGTCGGCTCCCAGGGGAGTGCTCTACCATGAGGCTGCCGTCCAGCCACAGGGTCCGTGGTTGGCGTTGGGACCTCAGCCAGGCCACCTGGCTTCAGATCACGGTTCCACGCCTTATGCTCTGTGTGGCCCCGGGTGAGCTCCTCAGACTCTTGAGCCTCCGCTCTGCACCTGAGACTGCACCCTTCTCATAGGGCGTTTATGAGGATTAAAATGTTAATCCAGGTAAGGTAATGCGGAGGGTGGGGCACGTGCGTAACCGGCACCCGGTGCGCGATGGACATCACCGTCACCTCTCCTCACGCATGCGCGTGCAGCACTCCCAGCCCGGTGCACAGGAGGCCTCGGAGGCCCCAGACGGAGGCAGCCCCACGGAGCCTCAGAGCTGRGGAGGGTGGAGTGGGAAGGGCAAGCCGGTCTGCAGCTCAGAGGCCGAGCGAGGCTTAGGGCCCTGCCTGGGGCCCCGGCCCACAGCCCCAGCAGGTGTCAGTGTGGTGGCAGGGGTGCGCCCTGTCTCCAGACCCACCGTCTAGGATCGACCAGACTCTGCCCAGAGCACATGGCGCTGGTTGTTAGAGATGCTGTCGCCCAAAAATGCCCCCAGGTGAACTGTCCACCTGCAAATTGTCCCCTGGCAGACTCCCTCCCAGCTCCGTTCTCCCCGCGCGTCACCTCCCGCACAGGGTCTCCAGCAGCTGCCCAATGCGCGTAGGACATCGGCAGGCCTGGTCCCAGCTGGAGCCAGGGAGGTGATCAGCCCAAACTCACATCTGGATGATGTCACCCTCGGAGGGGAAATGGAATAATCAGAACCCGGCGTCTGCCACCCCGGGGCTCGGGCTACCGCTGAGGCGGGGCGGTTCTCCCAGGAGTGGAGACACTCACTTGCTGGGCTCAGATCCCCTCTCCGTCCAAGGGCCGGCCTCCCTCTGACCTCAGCGTGGCCTTGGTACCCTGTGAAGGGGCATGGACTGTGCTCTGATCGTCAAGCTGCCACAGGCCTTTGTCACCCGTCACTGAGTACAGGGACACGAGGGCACCCAGAGGCCCTTCTGAACCCGCCACACCAGGGAGAGGGCTCCCTGCCGCCCTCAGATGAGCTTTCCCCTGCGGAGAGTCCCGGCCTCAACGCCTCCGGCTTGAGCTGCCCTGGAACTCACATGCTCTGCACAGTGTCCCCAACCCGCAGCCACTGAGCCCTGCAACGTCTCTCTTCCCCTCAGGTGTCACCACACCGGCCTCTGCGAGCGTGTCCCAGCTCTTAGCCAGGTGAGTGTGTCCCCTGCTCACTCTCCCTGTTCCTTGGGGTGAGGCTGGGAGAGGGCTCCTGGACAGGAAGCCCAGCGCGCTCTCGCCACCCCCTCGGGACAAGGGGGCGGTCCAGCAGCCCACCCAGGAAGTGGGCCTGGTCTGGGAGGCCGCTGGTGTCTCCTCTTCCTCTCCTCCTCCTCCTGGCCTGGCTCCTTGTCCTGCCTCCCTCCGCCCCACCTCTTTCTCCTCCCCTGCTCCCCCCCCATTCTTTCTCTCCCCCTCTCCTCCCTCCCCCTCCCCTCTTCCGTCTTTCTCTCCTTCCTCCCCCGCCCCTTCCTTCTCTAGCATCCGCCCAACTCCCCTCAGCACAGATCTGGGACTCGGAGACGGAGACACAGTCGCTGCCCTCGGAGGGCTTCAGTCTAGTGGGGACAGAGCAGGGGACCAGCTCCCAGCCCAGGGCCTTAAGTGCCCCAGAGTGAGGTGCCCAGGGCCCTCTGCTTGCTGCCCACCCCCGGAGCCGCCAGTCCCAGTCCTTGGCTGTGCATGGAGCCCTGAGTTGGCTGGCCAGGTGTCCACGTGTCCCTGGGGCCAGGTGTCCACGTGTCCCTGGGGCCAGAGGGTGCGTTCCTCAGCATCAGAGCTCTCCTTCCTTCCCGGGGAGGACCAGTGTACGGAAGGCTCCTCACCGGCCTTTCCCGTCACCTTTGAGGTGTAGGTAGTAGAAGTCCCCTGGAGGTTTTTAAGGCCCAGGCCAGAGCGCGTCCCCACCCTTTCTCTGGGGTTTAACTTTAGCCCCAGTTTAATCCAAGTCTAAATGGGCCTGGATGGGAGGGGAGCATCGTCTTGGATTCCGCCTCCTACTCCTCTTCTAAGGGCGCCTCAGAGGCTTCTCCAATAAGACCTGGCGGGGAGGAAGCCTGGTCCGCAGGGTGTGGCCGCCAGGCCCCACAGGGCAGGACGCGGACAGGTGACATTCACTTCTGCAGGTCTCCAAGCTCTGAGTCCTTCATTTCTGACATGGGAATTGTAAGGGCTGACCTTCACCCTGTCCCACCCCTTGACTATGAGCAGGACATCTTGATTGACAGCTCTGTTGAAGCTGGGAAGGTATCTCAGTTAGGATGGATAGTCAGGGTAGGATAGGTTCTGCTGCAACAAGCAGCAAATCCTGAAGTCTCAGTGGTTTCACGTGACAAAGGTTTGGGGGATTTGGTTGGTTGGTTTTTGTTTTTGTTTTTGTTTATTGGTTTGTTTGCTTTTGGTTACTCACATCCAGTCCAGCATGGATCCGGTGAAACTCTGGGGCAGCCTCCTCCACTAGCCAATTCAGGGACACAGGTTTTCCCAGATCATGACTTTGCCCTTGCAAATTTGCCCTCCACCTTTGTTACCAAAAGAGGAGAGAGAGCAGGAAGTGCGGGGTGGGGGGGTGGTCCTTGGCCCCACCTGGGAGTGGCTTACAGTATGACTGCCACATGGGTTGGTCTGACGGCAACAGGGGAACAGGGGAATCAATCTTCCTGATTCCCAGGAGGAAAATGAGGTGAGATCTGATGGACGCGTAACTCGCTTCTTCCCTGGGAAGAGTTAATACCCCAGGAAAGGTGGTGGGAAGGGCTGCTGGGTTGTGCCAGGAGATTCAGCGTCTCTCCCTCCACACAGGCCTTGCTCCCGTGGCCTGCCCAGCCAGCCTCCCACCGCCATGGCGGCCTACGGCCAGACGCAGTACGGCGGGGGGATCCAGCAGGCYGTCCCCTACACGGCCTACCCGCCTCCGGCACAAGCCTACGGAATCCCTTCCTACAGTGAGTACCTGACAGCCCTGGCTTTGCCCTCAACACGGGGGCCTGACATCACACTCCTGGTCCTTCCCTTTGCCCCAGTGAAATGCAGAGTGACAAATGCAGCCAGGCTTTGGACTGGAGGTGAGAAAAAAGACCATGGTTTTTTACACATGGTTCCAATTCTCTAGATTCAAGCCAGGGCTCTTTTGATGGCGAGAATCAGAAACCTAACCCAAGACAGTTGAGGGATTAACTGGGGACTTAGTGGTTCACAAGCTGGTACATCTGGGGATCCAAATGTCATCAGGTGTGGCTGGATCCAGGGGCTCAGACGACAGGGTGGGGGATGTGTCCCACTCCACCTGAGTTCTCCCCGCAGCAACAGAGACGGTGCCTGAGACTGTCTCCCTTCAGCTCAGCGTTTCCAATGGAGTCCATCTTCCTGGGGTTCCAACAGAGTCCCATTGGGCCCTCATTGGTCAAACTGGGTCCTGTGGCAGCGCTCACAGAGGTGGGGAGGGAGACGGAGGCCGGGGATTGCCTGGGGGTGACAGGGCTTCTCTTCCCGGGTGATGTCAGGGGAGGGAGGAACGGGTGTGGCCTCCCCTCCTGGCTGCCGACACTTCCCTGCTAGGAACTGGGCACTTGGGAACCCGCTGGTCTGCCCTGTCTCTGGGCTTTGTCCACCCCGTTCCCTTCTGTCTAATTGAAGTGTCACCCAGTGCCCCTAGGTAGTGAGCGACCAAACCCACCCATCAGCTTAGGGACCAACCTGTTCAGGCAGGGCTGGATCCAATATCTGAGCAACGCGGCCTGTGTCCTTCAGCGTGGGCCCGCCTCAGGCCAGGCCTCCTGCTGTGGGGGCAGAGAAAGCCCTAGAACTCCAGGCTGCAGCTCCCCAAAATAGAACCTCCCACCCAGTCCCAGAAAGGCTCCAGCTGGAGCCCCCTACCCAGCCCTGACCCCGACACTGGGCAGAGAAGGGGGAACGCCCCGATGGCCACACTGACCACACGTCCACCATGCAGCCAGAGGCGGTCGGCCTCGCCTGGGGCCGCTGGTCGAATACGAGGGAGGGAGGCCACAGAGGAGGACGCAGCGGACCCCCAAGTCGTGGGCGTGCAGTCCACCCAGATCCTGGCGTCCAGGGGAGAGAGCACGGGAGGGGGACAGCAGAGCTGCCTTCCAGATGCCGGACCCTGGCCCTCAGGCCTCGGCTCCCCACCTGTGAGGTCACAGGCTCCGCTGCCTTCCCAGCCACGTGGCCTTGCTTCCTGCAGAGACGGGGCCCGGGTTCCCTTTGTCCCCCACAGTCCCCCCCTCCGCCCCGTCTCTCATTCCTCCACTCCTCTGTGGTCGTGGGCGGACGGCGGTCAGCAGGCTGAAGACCCCGGGGGGCGGGGGCGTGATCTGTGGACGTGATCCGTTGGATGTTTTAAAACTCGCATTTTAAACATCAGCCGCTCGTCTGGGGCTGGCGCGTGATGACACGGGGTCCCTGGCTAACGCTGTTCCCATGAGCCTCGGTTTGCCACTGCCCCACCCGCCCACTGACTTCCCTGTCCCAGGGAGACCCTGGCGTTTGCAGACCCTGCCCCAGGGCCGGGCGGGGGCTCAGTGGAGCAGCACTGGCCTAGCATGTGTGAGGCTCTGGGTCCCATCCCCAGCACCACATAAAAAAACTAACTACATAAGCCAGCCCTGTCCTGAGGGAGAAAAAGAGGAGACACACTTCAGATGTTTGTGCATTTCAAACCACAAGAGTGTGGTCTCCAAGGAAGACCAGGAGCCCCCCAGAGAGCTGAGAACCGGAGGGTCTGTTTCAGGTTCAAGGCAGGGAAGACCTTTAAATGAGCAGCTAATTCGGCCGAGAAGGAGAGGGGGGCCTCGTGCAGGCACAGGAGGGGGACACCCAGGCAGAGGGCAGCTGCGGAACAGGCAGGGACCGGGCAGGTCCAAGAAGACCAGCAGCCGGCGCCTGGGGCCAGGCGGGTGGACCGGGCGGCAGAGCCTGAGCCTCTGAGTGGACCCGGGGTCTGTTCCAGGTGAGACAGGAAGCCACGGGAGGCCAGCGGGCAGAGGGCAGAGGCTGGGGAAGCAGAAAGGCCACTGGAGAGACCGAGGGGGGATCTGGAGGCCACGGCAGGGACCCACAGCTGCAGAAACAGCTGATGGAGCTTCCAGAGGTTGGAGGGACAGGTCCTGCCAGCCGTGATAGCGGATGCTAGCCATCGCCACCATCGTCGACTTCACCCTCACTTTGCTTGATGTCCATTAATCCTTTAGTCCCCATCTCACCCCTACAAGGAAGGTCACATCATGATCCTCCCTTGAGAAACACAGAAGCAGAGGATCAGAGAGGGTAAACAACTCACCCAAGGTCACCCAGCTGGCTGGTGGCAGAGGTGGAATTAAACCCAGGCAGCCTGGATCCGAGCCCCACTGCCCGGATGTGGGTTTTATGAATCCTGGGGGATTACCTGTGACAGGTGTGGGCATCTTTGCTAACTCTCCCCATCCCCCCACCATGATATAATCACATGTAAGCTCCCCGGCCTGGCTGACAGCCAAGAAAAATGCAGCCTCATTATTTTTCACATAAAAGAGAAACTAGCCCTGTTCCCAGACAAAACACGGCATCCGACGGATGGAAGTTAATCTGGTTCAAGGTTAGTTAACTGTCTCAGTGACCTTCCCAGATGGCACAGGGTAGGTGCTCAGATCACCCGCCTGGGATTCCGCCGCCCAGGGCCGGTTGTCAGGCCCCATGAATGGCCTCAGCTCCCTGGGCCTCCATTTCCTCCTTCATACAATGGTAGTGTACTAACTCCAGCCTCCCGTGGTTGCTGTGAGGACTAAGTAGAATTACCTATGTCAGAGATCATCYTAACGTTGTCTGAGGAGGGCTGGATGTTAAACAGGGCCTATCTTGTGGGCCCTGTGGTCTCCGTCACAAATATTCCGCTCTGCTGTGGTGGCCTGGAAGCAGCCAGATGGTGTGTCCGCTGATGGGAGTGTCTGTGTTCCAATAAAACTTTATTTACACTCACAGGCCAGGGGCCGGACTCAGCCCATGGGCCCTGATCTATATAAAGGGCTTGGCTCTCAGGGCCCTGTTCCCAGGGGTGCCCAGTGAATGTCACAGCTGTGTCAATAGAAGCCAGGCGGCCACACAGCCCCGGAGTGTCCGAGTCACTGAGGAACAGCGGGTGGAGGAAAACGCTTCCTTTGCCTGGCCGTGCCTGAGCACGCAGATGTGTCATCGTCCGCTCAGACCCTGCTGAATCTTGTCGAGAGGCCCTGCCCCGGGCACAGGGGACTGCTCACTCTGGCTTAAACAGCCCCGGGAGCCGGGCAACTGAAGGGAGCAAGTAGAGACAGGGGTGTTGGGAGCAGCCGGTATTTTTTTTCTCCATTATTATGCAATATTTAAGACATGGAGGAAAACATAAAGAGCAATACCACAAACACCCAAGAACTGACCGTCCAACTTGAAAAATTAATGGGGGAGGCTCCTGTCTTCCCAGAGACCCCTGCAGGTTTACAGTTTCCTTGCATTTCTTTCTTTTTCTTTTCTTCTTTTTTTTTTTTTTTTTTTGTACCAGGGATTGAATCCAGGGGCGCTTAACCACTGAGCCACGTTCCCAGAGCCTTTATATTTTACTTACAGACAGGGTCTCACTAAGTTGTTGAGGCTGGCCTTGAACTCGTGATCCTCCTRCCTCAGCCTCCCAAGCCGCGGGGATCTCTGTTGGCATCCAGTGGCAGAGTGGAAACCCAGGAAGCAGGAGAGCCTGTCCTCTGCGCGGGCGCGGCTTTCCCAGCCTGTCCGCGAGGAAGAGCAAGGGGCGGTAGCTCTGGGGGAATCAGGCTTCCTCCTTCTTCCCTTTGCTCCCGTGAAGTACCCAGAGCCCACAAGTGCCCGGTCAAGGCCAGCAGGGGAGCGAGGGCGGGTCTGCGAGGCCAGCTGGGAAGGCTGCCTGTGCAGGGTGACTGGGTGCAGGGAGGACCTCGGGCAGTGTGCACACCAGTCAACGGGGAGAGAAGTCTGTGTTACATGCTGATCAAGGATTTGCACAATGATAAGATCTGAGACGCGGGGGTCTGCAGCCCTTTCAGGCACAAGCCAGTTCCTGCCATCCTCTGTGCTCAGAGCCCCCCAGGACTCTTGTCACTCCAGGTCAAAGCCAGAGGTTTCCCATTTCCATACACCTGCCCTGCCCCCACTCCACGGCCTTTCTGCCCTCCTTGCTCACTGTGCTCTCCAACACTGGCCTCCTCCAGGTTTACTCATCCAACATACTAAGCATGACCTACCTCAGGGCCTTTGCACCTCTTGTTCCCTCTGGACATGGCATATCTTGCTCTCTTCACGTCCTTTGGRTCTTTGTTCAGATATCACCTCCCTCACGGACCTTCTCTGATCACCCTGTTTAAAATGCCAACTCCSGACTCGCTTTCACGGAACCTGACTATGTCCTTCTCTGCTTTGTTTTTCTTGATCACATCATTAGGACTCTACACGGAGACCCAGGAATCCATGTGTCTGGAGGGTTGAGGGGTGTGAGGGTGATCAGGGAGCGGGGAGAGCAGGCTGGGCCTGGGGGACAAGCCAGGCGGACCCTCGTGCGGCCCGAGTGCACCTGGGGTTGTGCTGACCACGCGGTCTGCTGGAACCCCAGCTCCAGCACCTGAAGCCTGCGTCCCGGGCCTGCTGCAGCTGCTGGGGACATCGGGTGACAGGCGTGTTGAATGAGTGCCCCGCTGTTGACACCCTCTCTGAAATGCTCCCCCCCCATGCCTCCCTGAGCTGCAGCCTGAGGCTCCTGGATGGGGGGTTCCTGGCACGTGGCGGGTCCCCACTGCCCTGGCCGTGAACGTGTCCACCAGCGGCGCAGCGCCTTCCCATAGACGGGAAAGACCAGGTTTTCAGTTTTTGCTTTAAAATTTTCAGTCCATCCCAAGGACACTTGAGTAAAATAAAAAGAAACGAATGACACTGAATGACACTGAGAGTTTAAAAAGGTGACGAAGTACGAGTCCGGACAGGGCCTCAGAGCCACGGCAGCACCAGGTTGGGAGGGTGACCATGTCCTCCCCACCACCTGCCCTTTCCCACTGTGAGCTGTGGCGGCGCCCAGACCGCAGCCCAGCAACACTGACCTACAGGATGAGGCCCTTCACGTCCCCGGCCACCTCCTCCCGTCCTCAGGGTCAGAATTTAGGATCCAGCCCTTCAGCAACAAAAGGGTGAGAATCCTTATTTTTCTTCCTGTTCATTCCTTCTTCTGATGTTTACTGAGCACCTGCTACATGCCAGACAGGAGCCACGTGGGGGGATACCACAGTGGACAAGGCTGCCCAGCCCCTGCCCTCTGGGCACTCAGCCTCAGGAGGGGACAGGTGATGAGGGACCTGAGGGTGGACTCCCTGCTGTGGGGGCCCAGCGAGTCCTGGGCGGCAGCCTTCAAGCTGAGCGACGGAGGATGAGAGCCGTTAGCGGACGGAGGCGTAACCAGGAGCGCGGCGTGCATTCCAGACGGGGGACCCGCTGCAGAGACCCCGAGGGCAGAGAGGTTCTTGCAGTTCTGTCTGTTTACCATGAAGGAGGCCCACACTCCCAGGATGTCCCAATGCCTTGCCCAGGTCCGGCCGAGACAGACGCCCTAGTGCTGCAGGAGAGCTGCGTCCCTCCATCCTGGGCCGTGAGGGTAGGACCTGGCGTTGACCCAGAAGCCCCCCCCCCCAGGCACTGGCTGAACATGGGGACGTGGACGCCAGCCGCTAAAATGAAGGAAACGCTGAGCCGTGGCTTGAGCAGAGGAGGCGAGGGAGGCCGGGGCAGGGCCCACGCGGGACCTGGGGTGGCACCACACGGTTTAGGGTGACTCCAGGTGCCCAGGGAGACAGACTGTCCCTAGCGCCTGGCTGGCCGAGCCTGGCACCCCGAGCAAAAGAAGGTGYAGGTCAAGTTCAGCCGCTGCTCTGTGGTCACTGCTACTGAAGAGCCAATTGTCTGCCACAGGAAGCCCCTGGTGTCGGTCAGCTTACGTCACTGTGACCCACAAGGACCCAACAGGAACCACTTAGAGGAGGAAAGTTAGTCTGGGCTCAGAGTTTCAGAGGCTCCTTCCACGGAGGCCGACTCCTTTGCTCTGGGCCTCGGGGAGGCAGAGCATCATGTGGAAGGGCCTGCAGGAGGAGCCCTGGTCCAGTCATGGCCGCTGGGGAGCAGGAGAGACAGCGCCAGGGCCGCAGGGAAGAGGGACCCTTCTAGGACCCGGCCGGTGACCCGCCTCCTCCAGCCACACCCCCTGCCTGCAGTCACCACCCAGCCCATGCCAGCCAGGGTGGACAGATGAGGTCCCCGACCTCACCTCACCTCTGGACATTCCTGCATCGACACAGGAGCTTCTGGGGTCACCTCATGTCCACACCAGAGCACCCCTTCCCACCACAGGATCAAGAGGAGGACCCTTGACCTCGCTGTCAGCTGCCATTTGCAGGACCCGTCACCTGCACTGGCTCCCACATCTCTAACACGGGGAGAGAGCTRCCCGGGGAGTGGATCTGCCGAGAGGATGAAGGGTCTGCTCTTGGTGCCTCGTCAGGGTTCGAAGCTCCCGCCCTTTCCTCCCTTTACTTTCCTGACAACCTGCATTTCCTGGGGAAGTAGCTTCCTGGCCRAGGTCGCGGGACAAGCTGTCCAGGTCACCAGGAGTGGAGCCGAGCCTCAGGCCCCCAGCCGCGTCTCCTGACTCCGAGTCCAGCTCCCGATTCCCAGGGGGACCGTGGAAAAGGGAACCCTCGACCACAAAACCACCCCCAGAACTAGAAACCTCCTTTAAAGAAAGGAAAAATCAAACAGCAGCAAGACCCTGCTTTATACCGAGCGGTCAGACAGGGAGGAGCAGGTTCCACAAGGACAGGAAGAGGGTGGGGGGGGCCGGCGCTCACGGCTCGTGRCCCTATTTATTTAGCAACGTCCACAGAAACGTCTTCTGCCCTGGGACTCCTGGAAATTCACCCAAGACATACTTATACAGGCGCACCAAAGCGTGTGTGTGATGACTGTGAACCACGCTGCGGCAAATACGTGTGTGTGGTAGTTACAGACGTGAAAGACGGCACAGCTGCGAATATGGGAGAAGGAGGCGCTTCATGATCTGTGGCCATGAAAGAGAAAATTGCCGAAGAGTATTATAGATCCCTTCAGTTTATTGATCAATTGATTCTTTGATCCCAGGGATAGAACCCAGCATGCTTGACCACTGAGGCACACCCCCAGCYCTCGTTAACATTGTATAGAGACAGGGTCTCGCTGAGTTGCTGGGGGCCTCACTGAGTTGCYGAGGCTGACTTTGAAGTCGTGATCCTCCTGCCTCAGCCTCCTGAGCTGTAGGCATCACAGGCGTGGACCACTGCGCCCAGCCTTCCGTTTATTAAAAAGTGAGTGCCCACCTGTGACCTCACACACCTGTCTGCGAGGTGAACCCAGGAACCACAGCCCAGTAGCCGTGGCTGCCTGTGGGAAGGGGAGCTGGGTCCGGGGCCAGGGGAGGACAAGACGCTTTTCTTTATGCCTCTGACTGTTAGAATTTTCTAGAGTGTGTTCATGACATTTTAGGAAAAAGAAAGTGAGTGGGCCGCCGGGGAGGGGTCAGCCTGTCACCCTCAGCGCTGTCCTTCCCCAGCCAGTTGCTCCGGGCTGGCCCCTCGCTACGGGTCATCATGTCGGGTTTGCTGGGTCAGAAGGCAGATCTCTGCTGTGGCTGCCAGTGTTGGTTCAGCAGGTCCCCGAGAGCAGGGCAGAGGGTGTGTCTTACCATGAAGTGACATCCTTCACCCAGGACCTGAGGGACACTTCAGCCATACCTGGCACTATGCAGTGGGTTCAGGGGCTCACACACCCCGAGAGCCAGGCAGGTAGCGTCCCCGCTTGTCATAGTGCCTAGAATGTAAGAAATAAATAGCCTCCTGGCACCAGGCCCGATGTCACCGAGACAGCCCTGGGCCCATGAATGACACGGGAAACTGCCAGGACAGCCTGCCGTCACACGGTGGCCAGGACAGCCTGCCGTCACACGGTGGCCAGGACAGCCTGCCGTCACATGGTAGCACGGTCCCATTGTGCAGGGCCATCCTGTTCTCAGAGAAGCCATCAGTATATACTTTGGGGTGAAATGTCATGATTTTTCCAAAAAACAACGAGTACCTCATTTAGATCTTGGCTATCTGGGGCCGGTCAGGGGAAGAGCGCATGGGCAGCGGCTGCTGGCTGGAGGCTGAGACGCGGCACCATGGGGACTGGCCTCAGGTCTCCACCAGCCGTGGGAAGCTTCTAACCCTGTGTCCTCGGTGCCTCTTTCCCCTCCCAAGGCATCAAGACGGAGGACAACCTGAACCACTCCCCCAGCCAGAGCGGGTTCCTCGGCTACGGCTCCAGCTTCAGCACCGCGGCCCCTGGACAGAGCCCCTACCCCTACCAGATGCACGGTCAGTGCGCGGGGCGGGAGGAGCCGCCTGGAGTTCTGGGTGTGGCGGGACCAGCGGGTCCAGGAGGGACCCCAAGTGCTGGGGGAAGGCACAGGAGCTGTCACCCCTCCCAGGCAGCACGGGCTCCTGTGGACGGTGCCAGCTGACCTCGGCTGAGCTCTCACTAGGCGCCAGGTGACATYGCGTGGGTCATCCACACAGCCCCAGTGACACCCTCAGGCGGAAACTGAGGCATGGAGGAAGTGACCGGGTCACCCACTCTGGGACAAGGAGTTTAGATTTTATGACAAACACAGTGAGAAAGGGACAGAGTTGAACCCCTTGGGGATGCCGTGGAGTCCCAGGCGCCCGGGGCCCCGCCCTGACCGTGACGGGCCTGTGTCCTCTCCTTCCACCTCTGGCTCCTGCCAGTGGRCTCTCTGAGTCCTGGTGAGGGTCAAAGCCCCTGGGACCCGTCTCTAGCAGGGGGGCTGCGGGGGCGGTGGTAGGTTGTGGCGCCAATCTAGGAGAAGGTTTGGAGGACATTGAACTTGACCTTGGGTTTGGACCCACCTCGGCCAGCTTCTTCCCAGTTCTCGCAGTAGAACCCGAGCTCACTGCCTCGGGCTGCCAGGACGACAGAGCTGGACCGGGCACCTCCCACCCGAGGCAGCCCCCGCCGCCTGCTCAGGGACGGGTAGAGGGACAGAGGGACGGGGTGGAGGGGCGCCCCTTCCCCCTCACTCGGTTTTGGTTTGGGGTTTTTTGTTTTGTTTTGTTTTTTTCTTGTCTGTTTGTGGTTGCGGACGGACAGATGCCTTTATTCTACTTGTTCCTCTTTACGTGCYAAGGATCGAACCCAGTGCCTCGCGCGGGCCAGGCGAGCGCTCTGCCGCTGTGCACCTGGCCCTTCAGGTGCTGGGGCGCAAGGTCAACAGGACAGTTCCCTCAGGGGGAGACGGTGTGACCAGTGACAAAGAAACAGATAATCCTAGGTTTCATTAAAGCCCAAGCAGGACCAAGGGTGGTGGCCGTGACCAGGGGAGGGGGGAGCAGCAGTAAGGGGATGAGGGGCCTGCGGATGCAGGGGGGCAGCCCTGGAGGAGCAGACTGCGGTCCAGCAGGGCAGAGCCAGGGCCAAGGCCCGGAGGCAGGAGCAGCTCCAGGGGACATCTTGACTATCTGGGGCGGCCAGGGGAAGAGCGCGTGGGCAGGAGACTGGTGCCTGAGGAGCACCGTGAGGGAGGGAGCCTGGAGCTGAAGCCGGAGCCTGGGGACCAGGACGCGTAGAACAGGTTTTCCTTCTCTGGTGCTTCCAGTGACCACGTGAGCTGGACACCGYCAACCCCTGCTTTACAGATGAGGAAAAGGTTCAGAGAGGGCAAGGGACTTTCCCCAGACCCAGAGCCAGGGAGTGTCCAGGCTGGGACTCGACGTGGTTTCCAGAACTCCAGAGCCTGCTGCCTGTCCACAGCTGCCTTCCCCGGTGCTGGCCTGAGCTCTGTGCCCCCGCCACCCCCCAACAGAGGGCCTCAGCTCAGCCTCCTCTGAGCCCCCAGCAGCCCTGTGATGGYGGCCCCGTCGCCCCTCACCTCACGGGGGGGAGACCGAGGCACGGGGGTCAGTAGCTGAAGCAAAGTCCTTGGCTGGCAGCGGGTTTGAAGCCGGGCAGCTGCACCCCAAGCCCAGACGCACAGCCCCCTCCACACCTGGGAGAACCATYGAGAAGGTGATTCTCAGGCCTGGGACCCCCCTCGATCCCCACCAGCCCCCAAACCAGGAAGGGTCTCCTGCCACATTTCCACACTGTCAAGGGGTGAGGGGTCATTTTCTTGTCCTGAGCCTGACGTTGGGGCCATCGCTGCTCTGTGTCAGTTACACAGCCTGGCCCTCCCCGGACTGACAGTCTCCTCCTGAAGTGTGTCTTCACACACAAACACCAAGGCTCGCCCACCACGCCCACCACACCCG